AACACATCTTTTCAACTCTGCCTACCCATAAGCCCCCCTCCTCTCAATCAATTTCCTCTTGACTGCCTTTTTATTTATTTTATTATACTTACTTGTTTGCCTGTCCTTGTTTGTCTACCCTCCCTCATATTGTAAAGCGTCTTTGAGTCGTGAAAAGCGCTATATAAATAAAATGCATTATTATTATTATTATTAGTAGTACCGTAGAAAACCTTAACGATACCCATCCCTAGATATTACACAAAGTGTTAAGAGAGTGAAATGTTGCTTTACGAATTTCAACACTTGATACTGTCACATTGATTCCAATTTCAGATACCTGTATTTACTGAATTGGTTTAAAGAGAGAAAACATTTTGACTAAAAGTTGACTAAAATGTAATTTTTCATCGACTAAAAGTAGACTAAAACGTTTTGAGTTTTCGTCGACTAAAACTAGACTAAAACTATGAAGTATAGGAATGACTCAAATGTGACTAAAACTAATAACCATTTCCGTCTAAAGACTAAGACTAAATCAAAAACAGCTGCCAAAATTAACACTGGCCTAGAGCAATAGGATTAAGAGGCTGGAAAAAATGTAAGAAAACAAACATTGGACCATTGATGACTTGAGTGTTGCTTTACTCTCTCCTCCCTCCAGGTTTAAATCCTCAAAGTGTGCCTCCTGCCTGCCTGCTGGGTTCCCTCAGATTAAAAAGGCCCGATCCTCACCTGTTTGCCGAGAGCAGTGATGTCTCTCTCGAAGGCTGCGTGCATCCTGTGGAAGGACTCGGCCTTACTGAAGTCCTCTCCCACATCTTCAGGCAGCTCTTTCTGCTTGTCGTGGATCTGAGCCACTAACTCCTTTCCATCGTCATAGTACCTGAAAAACCAAACCACGATCTCTCAGTCTCTTTTGCTCTGTGTGTTTCATCATATGTTTAAACCTCTTCACGGAGAGATACCGCAGGCCCTTCCTTCCTGCAGCGGTCAGACTATATAACCACCACGGCCCCTAGTAGACCCCCCCCACACACACACACACAACAACACAGACTGTAACACTCCTTGTTGTTAACCACCAACTATGTGCAATATGTGCTATATGTGCTATATATATATATATAGGCCTATGCCGTTAATAACTGTGTAACATATACCTGGCTACTAAATCCTCAGAACTATTACAGGATTTGTTTTTTGTAAATTGTGTAACTTTTTCTTTTATGCATGCTACTTACAGTAGGTAACATTTTTTTTTATTTGATTAGATTTATTTTGAATGTGTAAAACAATAATACAAAAATGTAACATGAGAATTATTATACAATACCAAATTAAGCAGTGTCAAATTCAAATACAAAAATATGACTGATTCTAAGTTATATAAACAAAAGATCTACTTAATTACACATCTGAAAAGGGGGGGGAAGAAGTTTACACTTATTTAATCCCACCCCCGCTGTAACAATGTAGGCTACATTTCCCCTCTGTGGGACTAATAAAGGTATTCTGATTCTGATGTTGTATTGCAGGTTTAGAAACAAAATCCCGATAGGATCAATGCAGATAACTTGTTTTTTCTGGTGCATTTTTGTATATTTGTGTCCTTACTTGAGCAGCTCGTAGGATGTGGTGAGGAGCTGGGAGCGCGTGTCGATGAGCTCCAGCAGGTCGGCCCAGCTCTCGTTGATGGCGTCCTTCCACTCCGCCATGGTGGCCGCCTCGGTGTGTCCCGCCTCGATCAGGTCGTCTATCGTCTCGTTCACCATGTCCACTCGGTCCTGACCCGCCATCCCCGTCTCCCGCGCAAACTCCCTGAACTTATCCCTCAGACGCTGAAGGGAAAAGACAGAAATGCTCAAAACATATTACAGTAGGAAGTTGGATTTGCATTTTGTTGTAAAGTTGCACAGTAAACTGTGCTCGTTGTGGATTAATAGAAAATAATAACATTTAGTATCCGTTAACAAGAACAAATGGTCTGTGTTTCTTTACACCAAAATTAATTAAAATATACAAGAAAAATATAAAGTTCTTTTGTCGTTTATGAAACATTTCCATCATTTGCTCGTTGCTTGTTATGATTTGTAGTTCCCTTTGATGTAAGAACTCTAGTCAGTGAGCCTGAACTGTCTCATCTAAAATAGCTCCAGGATTGGATACAAATGTGTTGCTACATAAATAATTGCCTCAAGCCCTTTTACATTTGTTAGATCAATCTGGTGCCACTAAGTGTTTTTAAAGCTCGGTTGGATGCTACTCAATCGGAAGCTATTGGTACCTGTTTATGTGGATAATTATGTAAATGATGCTGTATGATGTCCTTTTGTTGTTCTATTTATGTTTTTATGTTTCATGTGGAACTACTTGAGCAGGTCTCCCTTGAAAAAGAGATCAATGATCTCAATGGGATTCATCTGTATAAATAAAGGTTTGAAATGAAATGAGATCACATTAATGAATTAAAGTGCTACTAGTTTTTTTGCCGCTGACTGGCTGGTCCTGTGACTCGTATTTGTTTTGTAACTAGCTGATGCTAAATCTCATCCTCTTCTTCAAAGTCACTGTCAGACTCAGAATTCTCAGAAATGTGATCCTCACATTCTGAAACCTCTTCCTCTTCCTCTACATCATCATCAAATGGTTCTCTCTCTTCCAAAATCATTTGCAAGGCCCTCTGAGCAGAGAATCGTTTGGCCATCTTGATCAGTTGTGATAAGGACCCAAACTGGCAAAGCTTTATTTATTGTGTCTCGCCCAAAATTTGCAGCTTGGAAAGAGTGAAAAAAATAAAGATTGGTTCCCGCAAGACATCATGCGGGAATGTGAGAGCAGACAGGTGTCGGTGCTTGAATTTATCAACAATGTTGCAACCTTATGCGGGAATGGCAGGGGCAGAAACACAAAAGTCACACACACACACACACACACACACACACACACACACACACACACACACACACACACACACACACACACACACACACACACACACACACACACACACACACACACACATACCTGAACACCATACTGTACAAGGGTTAAGGTTGACAATAAGACACATTGAACAGTAACAGTTGGAGAATGATCCAACAAAATAATTCGAAATTATTAAAAAATATAAATAAAACTGTCAAATAGATTAAAAAAACTGCTTGATATAGAAGTATTAGATAGAAACGTTTGCACTTTCTTTTATATCTACATGATAAAAAGCAGATTTAGCTGAAATATGATCCTGAACGTTTCTTGCATGCTGGCACAAATTAAGTCCTAGTGAACTTTATTTTGTGGCCAGTGTCTCGTTAAGTTTCTCCCTCTGTATTTGCCAAAATGTAGATATTTCTCTCATGTGTGTGTGATCAATACCGTGACGTGGTCCAGGTCCTGGCCCATCTCCTGCGAGGAGGCCACCACGTCTTTCTCTGAGATCCACTGCTCCAGGTACTCCACCTCTCGGCTCAGCAGGAAGTGGTGGTAGGTGTGGTCCAGCTTCAGCCTGCGGTCCTCCGCCAGCTCCTTCAGCCCCGCGTACTGCTTATCCACCTGACCCTGTCGCCTGATGATCTCCTCTCTGCAGGCAGAGCAGAGGGAGAGGACGGAGGGGAATGAGATGCGTAGAGGACGAGGGGAAAATTAGAAAATGGCAACGAGATTGGATTTGGGTTTACTCTAGATGAGGCGTGTGATTAGGACACATGAATTATCACACTTTACATGCTTGTCTCTCTTATCATCCAGAACCACAACTGACTGGGACAACATGAGTGAATTAGCATCGTCAGATTACATTCAGTGTTTACAACAAATGATCCATCACAAACCCATCAGGATGGTCCTCAGCCAACATCCTCTGGGCTCGGTCAGCCAGACTCTGGATGGAGTCGGCGTAGTCGTCCACGTTCTGCTTCAGGACCAAGTGGCGCTTCAGCATCAGCATGGCACTCTGCTCGTCCTGCACACATGGAGCAAAGGGGAAGAAGAGCACTAATTAAGGATTGATTTATTTGAAGCTTTTTTGAGTGCACTTTTTATAAATTGCTCTGGATTAAAACGCCAGCTGAAATGAAATGTAATGAAATGAGGAGAGTAGAAATAAAATAGTACAATTATGCGAAAAATATAAGGATGGACATCAAAGCAAAACAAAATACTTCTAGCTCTCAATAGAGGGGGGCCACTTTCAAAAATGGTGTCTACTTAATTGAAAAAAACTGTAACCATGTCATCATGAGAATGCACACAGTGCTACTTGTTATTTTCACAACATGATATGCCTTTTTTAAATGATATATTTCAGAAATGTGCAGTCTACTTCTCTGCTCTGCTCCCAGAGGTGGAAGGAGTCTTAAAATACTCCATAACAAGTAAAAGTCCTAAATTCATAATGCGTAGATATTATATATATATATCAAAATGAACTTGAAGTATAAAAAGTGAAAGTACTCGTTCCGCACAATGGCCCACTTTAGAATATTTTACATTATATTATTGCAATACAGTAAATGCATTAATGTGCTCATCACTTTAATAGCAGCCGGTAAAGGTGGGGCTCATTTGACTATATAGGGGTCAATACAGTTTTATCTTAAAGTGGACCTATCATGCTATATTTTAATAATATAGTGTAGGACCATACCTATATAAGGCATATTTATACTTTTTATTTTTCAAAATACCAACAGATCATGCATTTTAGCCATCTCATTCCGCTCATTTAACCACTGTCTGCATGGGCTTGAATTCTGTGAGGGGAAAACAGGGGCACATCTACAGCCGCATATGTACTACAGCGTCTCAGCCTTCAAACGCCAAAGGTCCGTGGCTGCCTCCTCCGATTGTTTGCGTTGGATCCAATAGCCCGTAGCGCCACTTGTGAGTCACAGAAGTGTAAATTCTGGATCAGTCGTATCAGATCATTACAGCCCTTTTTAGAGATTGGTATGGGAGGAAAAATAGAGAGGGTTGTGTTTTCGGAACTGGGAAGTTCCCTGGAACCACCGGGGCCACATGTTATGTATAAAAGAACGTACAAAGTGTATTTTGCTGTAGTTTCCCCTAACTTAACAAGTTATTTGCTGATTATGTTATTGTGTATAATTATTTGGTATTCAAAGTAAATTTAGAACCAAAATAAGTAGTAAGTAAAAGTATTATTTGACTCTGGAAATGGAAGAGTGGGAAGTAGAAGAAGCGAATGAAATATTAAATTACAAATAACTAAAAAAAATGGTACTGCGTTTCCACCAAACACGATTAAAAGTGCTGTAGTAGCCCACGTCATATTCTTCAGATCTGTCTTTTTTTGTTACCTGTACATCTTGACCTGGTTTATTTAACATGCCTACTCCATTTGATTGTAAACTGTAT